AAAAAAAAAAAAAAAAAAAAGAAAAAAAAGAAAGTAAACAGAGCCAGAGGCATCTGAGTGCCTGTTTGCTCACAGTGACCAAAAAGGCAACCCTAGGCTGGTCCTCAGGGCTACTCCACTTTCCCTCCTCAAGCCTTTGCTCCCAAGAGAAGCCCCAAGGCAGGACCCCAGCGTCAGCGATCTGGGAACCGGAGGGGCGGTTGCTGAACTAAAGGGAGCATAGATGGGAGGCAGCAGTCGAGGGAGGGGATTTTGAGGTGCTACACCATTGCAACCCCTTGAGTGTGGTTGCCAGACTCTGTAGCCAAGCAGGAAGAAGGAAGGAAGCTGCGTGGGGCCGCCGGGCAGCAGGCGGGACAGGTTACCGGTCCAGTGGCAGCGAGCGCGGAAGCAGTGCGCGCACCACGTCCTGTGCGTGCTCCAGGGCCAGTGCACTAAGCACTCGCAGAGCCGCCCTCCGGGGCCTCCCTTCAGCCAGGGTGGGCACCTGTACCAGCAACCCGCACACTAAAGCGTGCACCTGGGTAGAGAGAACAGACGTCAGAAGTCAGGTCTTCTCAACCCTGGAACTGACCCTCACAAGAGCCAGTACCCCACCCCCACCCCGCAGCTTGAATAGGGCGTGTGTGCCAGCCTGAGGGCTCTAAAACCCTGCCTTGAAGGGCCACCCACAGTAGTCTCAAGGATAGAGAGTACTGACTGACCTGGTCCTCCAACTTCTCCCCCCTGGCCTCCAGGGCTGAAGACAAAGTGACCGCTGTGGCCTGGGTCCCGGCAAAGCCAGCCTCCTCCAGGCAGGCAGCCGTGTACATGGCCAGGTCGGCAAGGGCGCCCTCCTCCAAGGAACTCTGGGGGGCCCAGGGCAAGATGGGTAGAGTGTATTAAGTCCCCATGCTTCCCCCAGCTCTCCTCCCCAGCCCTCCCAGCTTGCTACAAAACTCCACATCCCTGCATGTTTTCCAGTCCCTTTTATCCTCCAGTATCTTCCCCCAGCTCCAGCAGCCCTAGCCCATGTAGTGTCCAAGTGAGAGCCTGGAGATGAGCCATGCCCCCGCCTGTCCCCACAGTGTCCCATCCTTCACCACTCACCTGGTGGGGTCCCTCAAGGACTGCCTCCCGAGCATTGTGTGGGGAGTAGGGCTCACTGCTGGCTGTGGGGGCAGTCGCCGTACTTCCAGGCTCAACCTCAGAGGCAGTGGTGGCAGCGTGGACCTGGGGCTCAGCCTCAAGTTCAAGTTCCTGGGGCTTGGACTGAGAGCTGGTGGAAAGGGGTCCCAGGGGTTGTCCCTGGCTGGCCCGGATCCCTTCAGCTACAGCTGTCAGGGTTAGGGCCCCCACAGTGGCTCCCTGGCCCCTGCCCCTGCCCCATACACCACCAGCCATGGTGCTCCAGAGAGCAGCAGCTGCCACTGCTCCTCCCAGGAAGTCCTGCCCAGGCAGGCCTGACCTAGAAGCAGCCCCCGGGCGGGCCCATAGACAGACGTAATGGCGTGTGCATGCGTGCCTGTGTGAGGATGTGCCAAGAGTGGCTGGGGAAACATGGGAGTCATTCCAGCATGGGATTGTCACAGGCCCACCTGCTCAGGCTGGTGGATATGAATGGCCAGTCAGAAGCCAGGGTGTCTGTGGTCTGGCTGTGTCCACATACAGGGCAGAAAGGACAAATCAAGAGGGAAGGGCCCTGAACCATAACATCCAGCCTCTCTTGCCTAGGGCCCAGGGCAGCTGTGTATGGCTTTGGAGAAGTGCCAACAGGGTCAGGAGCTGGGCTGACCCTGCATTCTGACCCAGCCAGATATCTGAGTACGGGCATGAGTGGGTGGTTGCTGTTTCCATCTCTGAGCTTGGGGCATCCCTATCAAGTGCTTTTGCAGGTACCCAACACTGTGGGGGTGGGCCCTTCTAGGTGCCTGGGAATGCATATTTGAGATGGTTTGCCCTGAGCCTGTCCAGGCACTGTGTGCTCATGAGTATGCATCTGTTTCTCTCCAGGCTCATGCTCCCCACGGCTGGTCTTACTGAGCTTCTGCCCTAAATCCCCACCCTCTACCCTCACCCAACTACACAACAGGCACTGCCCATTCCTGAGTCAGGGAACCAGATGAGCTGGTCTGGTGGAATACTTGGGCAGGTGGATTACTCCTAGAAGCACCTCAGGAAGAGCATTCACTCCTCCTATGCCCTTGTTGGCTTGTAAAACTCAGGCTGCCTGGATGGGGAGGCCCAGGGCCCAGCCAACTCCTGCCAGACCTAGAGCCCCCTCCTGAACAGTTCCTTTGTACCCTAAGATCACTAACTTCTTGTACAGAGGCAGGACCAGCCCCCACAGGGCCACCTCTTAGAGCCACTTTCCTGGGCTCCTGTGTCTGGAGCTGAGCCCCCAAGGCCAAGGTCTGGCCTTGGACCATGTTTGGACCCTGCCTGATACCCCATTCCACAATGGGGAGCCTGGCAGGGGAGGTTTTCCACAGTAACTCCCTAAACTTTGAGTCAGATTCCTAAGCCCACTCTGTTCCTGCTGTTCAGTCTCAGATCTGGTCCCCATAACCCAGTCTGGGGTGAGACTGGGAGGCTCCCAGCTGACTCTAGTGTAGCCCCTGAGGGCCCAGGAGGCCAACTGAGCAACAGACTGGATGAACAAATGAGAGAGAGTCATAGTGCACAGGAAGGGCCAGGGCCATGACCCAGCTCAGCAGTCATAATGCCTATAGTTTTGGAGTTCAGAACTATGGCCATGGTTGTGGGGGATGGGTGGATTGTGGCAACTACGGAGACTGAAACAGAATGCCTTGGCCCTGAGTGTCATCCCCATCCATTTGGTCAGATCTCTTGGCTCATCCACAAACATGCAAGGGAGAAGAGGCACTGAGGACACCGTGAGGATTTTTGTATCTCCCTCACGTTGGCCGAGGGTGGAGGGCATCACCAGGAGATAAAGTCCCAGTGATACCCAATATGCTTTTCTCACCAGATTTCACATAGAGCTCAGTGTTACCTTGTTTGTTCACCTGACCTCTGGATTGTCAGCACCATTCATCTCCAGAATTCTCACCTTCCTTTCACTTGGGAAACTCTGTGGCCTGGAACTGCCACCTAAGACTCCTCCCTGTGCCCTGGCCCTGGGAACACTTCTGTCCTGTCCCTTTCTGGTGTTCCCACTTGGTGTTCCCGTGGTAAAGTCCTCCGGAAGGTAAACATACAGGAAGGATCCTTGTGTGCATGGTGTCCTTCACCCATCCAAAGGGATCTTCCTTCATCCCTCTTGCAGGGGTTGACCCAGGCCTGTGCCTTCTTAAGGCCCTGGACTTTGGTTAACTTTTGTCAAGTCTCTGATAGAGAACTTATTTCCTCCCTTCTAGCTCCCCTGGACTGCTCCTTCCTGCTTTCGAACTTTTGCCCTAGCCACCTAGGTGGTACTTTAGCCTACCTGTTTTCCACTGATCCATCTCCCAATTTCCCAGCCCCGTCAGCACATGAGAGCCTCCTGGTCCCTCCTCCAAACCCACTGCTGATCACACAGTGTGCACACAGCCACTGCAGGATCACATGCCCATCTGACCCTTCTGCTTTGCTCACAATCCCAAAGGCCTTTCTGCTCTGGCTGCCTCATAGTTACATCACTCTCCCTCATTTCCCTGCTTCCCACCTTCCCTATGCACTATCCTTCCACTCCTAGTTCTCCAGTTTCCCCTCTTTGGGGAAGATAACTGATTTCAACACCCCAATGTCAATGAAATGATAATTGTCCTTAGCCAACTTGTGAATTCTCTTTTTCATCACCCTGCAATAGGATTTGGAGGTGTTATGTTTCATGATATTGTAAGACTAGAAAATGTTGGTTCAGTATATGAGGTAATGGCATAGGAGATGCATTCAATTGTTCAAGGTCCTATGTCATGGCCTGTTTTTGTGCTGTGATCTCGGTACACATCTCCCCTTCATTTTTGGAAGGAATGTGCCCTCATGCAGAGGCTCTTAAATAGGTCTGTGCCAGGATTTTATGGGCTGCATGACATGTTGAGTTCAGGTAGACTGAGCTAGGTTCTTTCTGTCTTGGTGGCAGCTCTGTCTATTCAGAAGGTCCCACTGCAGGTCCTGCCACCAAACCTGAGCAGGGCACGTTCTGTGAGTGAAGGACCTGCTGTTCAGGTTGTGCTGTCTCCCTGCTGTGGCCGTTCTTCTAAGAGTGGTTTTAGGCCCAAGGAGAGGGGGGATTTGTCCCAAGTTATACAACTAAATGTATTAGAGTGCTTTTGTTCCTGCCATTTTCACAGGGAAAAGATAAACAGTTTGGTAATTGATCGGCTAATACAGCCCTTGAGCCAGGGCCATAGTTTTGGTAACCTTGTGTGACTCTGTAGATGTCCCCTTCAGGGAGGTGGTACCTGGATTTTTGAAGGAGGAAAGATATATTGTTAGGTGTTGGTTCAGAGTGCGTGAGTTGGATTTCAATGGCCTATAAGTCAGTACCGTGATAGTGCAGCCTGGCAGAGAGTGAGAGTGCACAGTGAGGGTCGGGGCCAAACCAGAGCTCAGCCATAATGATGCTGGTGAGTTGACCACTCCCAGAAGTGTAGTCAATGGTGTTGGGAAGTGTGAATAGTGTGAACCATGGACACTGAAGCAGACAGGCTTGTCCCTGAGTGTCATTGCCAACCTTTTGGGCTGGTAGCCAGGGTCCTGCTCAAAGATGCAAGGGAGATTCCCTGAGGACACAGGATTTTTGTCCCTCAGTTGTGGTGGCCCAGGCTGGAGGGCATCACCATGATTCATGAGCAGGGTGCAGAAGGCCAAAGCCAGTGAGTGAGCACTCAGTTCTTCACATTTCTGTATGCTTTTAAGTAAGATAGAGTCCCAGTAGCAGCCAGTGTGCCTTTGTCAGCAGTTTTGTTTTCAAGTACACCTCAGTTTTCCCTAAGTTCATTCACAGGACTATCAGAGTGGCATCACCATCCACCTGCAGACTTTCTAGCCATCCTTCCAAATGAGAAGCTCTGTGGCCAGAAACAGCATCCTGAGTCTCCTCCCGGGCACCTGGCACTGACAACACTTTCCTCCTGTCTGATTCTGTTGTTCACATGGTGAAGGTGGCAATTGTGGAATCCTACATAATGGGTTATTTTCTGTGTAGTGTCCTTCACTCCATAAGTAACGCTCTTCCTCAGGCCCTTTTGCAGCCCTTCACCCAGTCCTGTGCCCAGTAAGGCCAAATATCTTGCATAGACTTTTCTGTAGTTTCTGAAACAGAACTTATTTTCCTCCATCCTGCTTCTCAGAGATGCCCCTTCCTGGTTTGCTATTTGTCCCCTAGCCACCACAAGAACAGTGGGCTCCCTACATTCCCGATTCCTCTTCCAAATTTCCCAGCCCCTTTGTCACATGAGTGCCTCAGGTTCCCTTCTGCAAGCCCATTCCAGAGGACACTGTGCCCTCTCTGCCACTTCAGGTACTGGTGCCCATCGAACTCACCTGCCTTCCTAACATCCAAAAGTCCCTATTGCTCTCGCTGACTCCTACTCGCATCCCCATCCTCCTTTTGCTGCTTCTTCATTCTTGGCAGTACATTCCTTCTCATCCCATGTCTCCAATTTCCCACCTTTCCAGTAGACAGAGCATTACAGCCCTCAGATACTATTGTTGAAATGAAATTTAGACTTAGCCAACTTGGTGATCATACACAAATTGGCACTGCAAGAAAATAAATTGATGGACTCAATCTGGGATCGAATTGTGTTTGAGATTCCTTCAGTGCCCCAGGTGTGATGTCACACACTGGACTGTCTAGTGAAATCTCAGTAAACTTATCCGCTTACTTCTTGGAAGGGATGTGTCCATTTGGAATGGCTAAAAAATAGAACTGTGCTGCTATTTTGAGACTTGTGTGACAAGCATTGTTCAGGGAGATCCAATTGAGGCCATTGTGCTTTTTGGCAGGTCTGTCTTTTCAGAAATTCCTCCTCCAGGTTCTTTCCCCAACCTGAGTAGGACACTATATTCCAGGTGAGGGATCCACCCTCCCAGGTGGTCTTTACTTCCAAATATGGCCCTGCTAACCCAAGGAGATGTTGTACACCCCAATGTAAAGGTTCATTTACTCAAGTGAAGCAGCACCTGCTTAGCCTGCTGTGGTTCAGGAGGGACCTTACCCGGGAAAGCAACCACAGTTCATGCTATTTCTGTTTAATCCACCCACTTTGCCAAAACTATTGTTTTCTTGAATGTCCTGCCATCTAGGAGACTCGGGAGGCTGTTTCAAGCCACAGAGTTGTCCATTTGAAAGTATGCTGAGAATGTCTGCAGATGCAGGGTGATGCCAGTCTGATGGTCCCGAGAAATACCTCAGTAAAACTGAACTGTACTTAAAAACAGGTGACAAAGGTACA